GGCATCCCTTCCCTCCAGCGTGTAGGAAAGCAAAAAGTTCAGCATAAGCATGCTGTTCAGACCTTAGTGGGGATTTCAGCACAGTCTCCCAGAGACAGTCCTGCTGGTGCCCTATTTGGGCATATTTTTGCTGCTTAGTGGGAGAGGACCTGCTAGCATTGTTTATTTTGAATTCAGAGAGCTTTGGCTTAGGGCCACTGTGTCTCATAGATACACTCTTAAAACGCTGCAGTTTCATTTTCCAGTTCCCAGGACTTTGTGGACCCTGATGCGTATCCTTCCAAGTCTGTCCGTGTGCTATCCTTGGCACGGGTGCGCAGGTTGTTGCCCTTAAATTTATACCATCCACTTGCTTGTGGGAACTCCCAAGCTGTGGCGTTAGGACTGTTGCAAAAGGAGTTTGCAGAGCCAGGAGGTATTAAGTAAAACCACCTCTGCCTCCACGCTCTCTGTGCTGCCTCTGCTCTAGGCAGAGCTGAGAGTTTTCCACCAGGAGGCTTTTTAAACAAGCACAGTTTTTCATTCTTCTGCTGAGGTCAGAAGGGCTGAGCAGAGGCAGCGCGAGGTGAGATTTGTATCTCCCTGCTCCAGTAAAGGCGCACAGGTTTCCTATCAACATCCAGGTGTGTGTAAGGCCTGCTCTGAATCAACAGGCAGCACCAGGATAGTGAAAACTGTTTGTCATTTCTCTTAGTTAAACTGTTTTTATCTAGAGATCTGAACCGTTCTAAGAAATGCTCATTTCGGCTTCGTTTGTTTATCCCCCAAACACTGATTATCTGTCTTAGTGAAATGGACAGATAAATGCAAATCAAGTCCTTGGTGGTAGAAATAAGCTGTTTAGGGTGTGTGCTGTGCAGTTTTGCTTTCGTTTGCAGGCAAAACAAACTCAAACCTGAAGTGAAAACTGAAATGGTCCGGTCTGCCAGCGTCAAGGATTCAAACAAGGCTTCGATCTCATCAGAACCGGAGCTTGGACTAAGAGATACGATTGTTAAATCTCAGCTTGCACGCATGGAGGATTCCTACACGCACATCCAGAGCTTCAGGTAACGATCACTCCTGAGAAGAACTTACTTTTGTGGGAAGTTAGTTTGCAGAAGCTGTCAAAATAACTCGTGTTCATTATTTCATCTAGTATCCCTGCAAATAGGGAATCTTGGAGAAAAGTAGGATCCATACTTCCCAGAACAGCTTGCTTTCCTCATTGAGGCATTGGCAGAGAAGGATTTCAGTCGTGTCTCTGTCAAGGCTTGCCTCATGGTTCTTGTTGAGAAAATGACCTTTTTAAAATGACTTTCCTGTGCTTATTTCACACTGTGCCTGGAAGTGCGGCGCTTGTGTGCACCTCTGGCCTTCTCACCCACTGCTTCTGTTCACTGCTCACCCATGTAGTTATCCCAATAAGCTCGTAAGAGCTTGGGTGTAATATATAATCAGGACCAAAGCTTTACTGGGGTTGAAATCCTTTTATGCCTGCCATTCTATGAATTTTTCATTTCAAACTGCTTCTGTATGGCTCTGATATTCTTATTTTAAAAATACTATATGTAAAAATGTGTATCCTTCTGTGAGACATGTCTGTAAAGGTGTTACTGTAATAAATCACTTTGGGGCTTTAAACTTTGTCACATATTCTGAATTCCCCCTGGAAACCTGTTACTCCTGAATCGTTATATATGTAGTTTTAAGTGCATGGGTTAGTAGTAGTGGTATTTGCATCAGCTCTACACTTTGCAGCTCTGGGATTTAGGTAATTTCTTTGCAGATTTTTTGTTGGGACATATAATGTGAATGGTCAGTCACCCAGAGAAAGCCTCCAGCCTTGGCTGAGGTGTGATGCTGAGCCTCCAGACATTTACTGCGTGGGGTGAGTTTCTCTTTCTGGCCTGTCCTTCCAAACCTTGACTGCGGGTTGCTTGCCTGTGGATCTGTAGCATGGAGGCGTTCAGCCAAGACGCCACAGCTGAGGAATGTTTGCCTTGCCTTACTCCGTTGCGCAGCATTAGAGCCTGTGTTTGCGTAGCCTGAAAGGGCAGTTGTTCTGGTAGTGTTTGGACTCTCTGGCACTGCAGTGCTAAAAAATCTTTGCTGACATTCAGTTTAATACTAGTAGTAATTTAGCTTTATATTTAACGTACCTCTAAAATCAGCAGAACTGAATTTGAATTTTCAGTTGTAAATCTAGTGAGTATGAATTGACTGAGTTCTTTCCCAGAGGAAAGGGCTGGAGAGTCATAAACAAGTGCATGCATCCATGGGTTCCTTCCTCTAACGCAGTTTCCAGGAGCTTGATCTGAGTAAAGAAGCCTTCTTTTTCAATGACACACCGAAGGAAGAAGAATGGTTTAAAGCTGTAACTGATAGTCTTCACCCAGATGCCAAATATGCAAAGGTAAATGTGGCTTTTGGGGAGGTGTGAGTGTGGAATCATTTTCCACTTCAGCTTCTTTTCCCTTTGCTTTTTCTTGTTCTCAATTGCTGTGTCTTCCAGAGGCTCGTTGTCTGCAGTGCTCAGTCAGGAGTCCTCTGAAGGTGACATAGGTAGTGTTGCTCTGCAGGGTGCGGAGGCAGGAGCAGGACAGGAGCTAGGCTTCCAAGCATAAAGGAAGCTCCTCCTATCTCGGGGGAATAGGAAGTATTTTAGCTTCTTCCATGTCTGTGTCTGCAATGCATGGTGGAATGACTTGTGAAGGTATCTTGGTAGGAATACTGCTTATGTTTTGGCTCCTGCTCCTTAGATCTGCTTGGTCGCTTGTCACTGTTGTTGAAGGGAACCCCTTCCATGGGCTGTGCCTGTGCTGTAGGTTCTGCTTTGGGCTTTGACTTTGTCTGCTGGGGTGCTGTTCCCTGGCTCCTTCCTGTGATGTGCTGCTGGAGGGCATGCGTACTGTGAGCCCAGCTGGTCCGTCAGATGAGCCTGGAAGAGCCTTTTTCTTCCTCTGTGTTTTGGTGACCCATGTTCTGGACTGGGGGATGACGTGCCTTCTTTCATCAAACCTCTCCCATTCCAGTATTTAATGGAACAGGGATTTCCTGTATTTAAAGGATCTGTTTTTCAGGTGAAACTCGTGCGGCTCGTGGGAATCATGCTCCTGTTGTATGTGAAAGCAGACCTTGCTCTGAGCATCTCTGACGTGGAAACGGAGTCTGTGGGAACTGGAATCATGGGGAGGATGGTAAGAATGGCAACCGTGCATGAGAAGGGGTGAGATTCAGAAGAGCCCTGGAGAGCCTCTCCTTAGGGGTAGCGGTTATTCCTTCAGCTGAGGGATGCAGCTGCCCTTAGAAGCGCATCGTCCCGTCCCTGTGCCTGTTCAGGGTGTTGCTCCAGGGAATTGCCATGTGCTCACCAAGGCTCAAAGACCTTGAGGGAGAATCTTCTCCGAAGGCTTTTTTTTTTTTTTTCCTGTTTGCATGTGCTGGGCTGTGTGGGGACTTGATCTCACATGGTTTTGCCCAAAGCAAGTAACACAAGGAAACATGAGTAGAAGAAACATGGCTATCCGGAGTAGTTTTCCTGAGGGGGACTTCCTGGCCTTTTGCCATTCCTCACCACTGGAATGAAGTCAGTGCCCTTCAAATGGAGTTTCTGTGAACATTGCAGCTATAACTTGTTGAAGGTATTTTTGACCTTCTAAGCCATGCTTCCTCCTTCATTTACAATTTTTTTATGGTTTGTGTTGAAAGATCCAGTTTGTTGCTAAACAGGTTTGGGGACTTGCTGGAGTAACTGACCAGCTCTCTTACTGATTTGCATTTCCTTTTGTATTAGCTAATTCCTGAATTTCAAACAGTTCCATATGCTTTCTTGATGCGTTGTTGCTGTGTGCAAGCTCACATGAGTTACTGACTTGAATTCATGAAGTAGTTATCACTCTTTAGGCCCTTTTCCTTCCCCTGGAATTGGATGGTCTACCTTAATGTCTCCTGGCTTGTCCACTGCTAGTAACTCATTTGTGGATTCGTCTTTTGCGTAGAAGCTTCTGACCGATGTCTTTGTCTTTACCTTTCAGGGTAACAAAGGTGGAGTTGCCATAAGGTTTAAATTCCATAACACTAGCGTCTGTGTTGTGAATTCTCACCTTGCAGCTCACATGGAGGAATATGAGCGGAGGAACCAGGACTTCAAAGACATCTGCTCTCGGATGCAATTCTGCCAGTCGGATCCAGACTTACCCCCTCTCACTATTGGCAAACACGAGTATGCTTCCCGTCTGGCTGTGTGAATCGCTGCATGTGGCAAGGAAGAGCCTTATGAATGTACTGGGGTGTGAGCTTGTCTCAGCAGGGGTGTGAGAAGGGGAGGCCCAGTGATCTAATCGGCAGTCTGGAAGGGCCAGAAATGCTTTACCGTAGCTGGTTTTGAGAGTGGTCACCTATACAGTTCTGACAAGTCACTTGCCGCCTTATGCTCCTCCAGGCCTTGTTTTATTTTCAAGCATGAAGTGGGAGAGGGGCAATGTATATGAGAATATATATGCATCGATTTCCCCAGTGGGTTGTGGGATTTAGTCAGTGTGGGCTATTAAAAGCACCGGTTACTAAGAGGTAGACACAAACAGGCAGAACAGGAGTTAAAGACAGCGACAGTAGAAAATGTAGCTTCTCTTTCAAGTTTTCACTCTTACTTGTTCTGATGGAGAAGCAGACACAGCACCCAGCTGGTCATGGTGGGATTAGAAGAGCTCGTGCTTGCATGAGGGGGTTTAAGGCGCCGCTGGGGAGCTGCGCTTCCAGCGCACGGCCAGCTTGCGATTGGACATCTTTAGGCCTCTGTGCAGACTTGTGGTGTACCTTCTTTCAGTGTGATCTTATGGTTGGGCGACCTCAACTATCGGCTGGAGGACCTGGATGTGGCAAAAGTGAAGCAGCTTGTAGATGAGAAAGCATTTCTAGAGCTTTGCCATTATGACCAGGTACTGATGTCTCACCTGCCTGCAGGTGGTGCTGAGGGTGCTGCTTAGAAATGGCACGCACGCTCCTTACCCTTCCCCTTTAGCTCATGGGGGAATTGTGTTTCTGCTTATTTAAACATTATTCTTTGTCTTTTTTTTCTTTCATAGCTAAAGAGGCAAATGAATGCACATGCAGTCTTTGAAGGCTTTACAGAGGGAGAGATTTCTTTCCAGCCAACATACAAATATGATGCTGGCTGTGATGACTGGGACACAAGGTACAGTGATTGCCTCATATGCTACCAACGGCTAATGCTGTCACTGAAGGAAGTAAAAGCAAAGCTAAAAAGAATGGGAAATCTGATGGATTTCCCATTAAAAAGGAAAAGTTCCAAGATCATTTCTGTTCCTCTCCCTTTGTTCCAAAATCCACCTCCATCTATTTATGTTGCTTTTCTTCCACTGCTATTTGTCACATATTCCTAGTCTTGTTCCCAGGAATAATCCGTTGGGTTTCCTCTTAGTTAGAGGTGTACAAAATTAAGGAGTCATTTTTAATTAGCTCATTCTTTTTGTTTGGTTCGGTTTGTTTTTTCTCCCCAGGCAAAATTGTTGCGATCTTGATCTGTTGATCTCTGCTGTACCTACACAGGTCAGACCAGCCAGGGTTCGAGGTGGTGCATTTGTGCTGTCTGTAGCTGAGCACGTTCTCGAAAAGACTGCGAGAACCATCATCTCTGTAATTCTCTACGCAGAGTGGCTGGCCTGTTCTTAGTAAACTGGGAACATTGGCTTCATGTGTGGGAATGAAATCTGTGCTGCATCAGATGGGGGGAAATAAAATGTGGAAGATGCTCCAAGGGCTGGAGCC